AATGTGTTTTTATATTTGTTCTACCAGAAAAATGTTTTCCCAGACAAAACATACAATATAAACTTGGAAAAAATGTGCACAATACAATATAAACAATCACTAGTAGCTGACAAAAACAACATTTTATTTACAATGATATCTTTCGGTAGTCGAATCGAATGTACGGGTTTTAAGAATAATAATGTCAAAAACAATAGCACACAAGTCCACGGCTTAATACAGACATATTGAAACACAAGGCGAAGTGTCATTGGGGGGGAGGCCTGCTCGTAAATTAATTAAATACCGCCCAAACGTTTTTCTTTATTCACTAATTTATTACCACTAGGAAATACCGAAAAGTATAACAATACCGATTTTTTTTAAAAAGGTAGCGCAGCACAAATAGTGTTAAGTTTTTCCCCATAACAGTACTCAACACCTTTAAACTTCCATCTCTATTATTTTTTAATAGCACAAAGCTACTTAGAAAGCATAATATTATAAAATATCTGCGGGGTTTTTAATTTTGGTATTTATTTTCTTCTTAGCCTAATAATAATAACTGTGGATATTGCTTTTGGGCATTATCATAAGTTTCCATATTGAGGTTTGAAATGGAGATTGTCGAAACAAAATATGTTGTACATCAATTATACAGTTTAAATTTTATTACCAGCCTACACAACGCTTACGTAGTAAACCCAGACAGATAATGATTGGCTCATGATAAAAAAAACCATCCTGTACAATATATAATATGACAAACCCCTCCTCTAAGTTGTTTATTATGTTCAAAAACAAACAACAAGATTTGCATTATTTATTTTGTAATCAAACCAAAAAAAAAAAATGTTTGCCTACACAAGATTTATGTTAATTGTATTTTGTTCGAAGATGTTCGTAGGTTTGTTACACAGTACAATAACATACTATTACAAATACACAATTCTTGTAGATACATTTTACACTTAATAAATCTTGATATAAGTATGTTTTTTTTGAAAAAAATGTTTATTAATTGCTTTTGTAAATACACATTATAGCACACTACGTGATATAGAATATAAATACATAAAAAATAGTATATACGTTACTTTAATGGAATATAATAGTTTAAAGAACTGATTACAATCTCGAAAATGTGTAATTTTTGGGTTATCCACCTAATCGTATTACAATCAAATACCTAAGTAATAATACGAAATACAGTATTTGACTTTTTGGCCGAATTGTGTTATTTTAAGGACTTAACAAAAGTAAATAGTAGCGCATTGTTTTTAATAGATACGAATAATTTTGGTTTTTATGCTGTCTGAGTGGCCTTGTAATTTTCAAAAAATTTGGGATTCAAATTTAAAGGTAATAAATATCGTTATGGGTCAGCCGTGAGGGTAAAAAATTAACAATATTTGTGCAGCGATACCATTTAAAAAAAAAATTGCTATTATCACACTTATATGTGGTTCCTAGTAGTAATAGTAACAAAGTAAATAGAGAAAAATGTTTGGGAAGGTATTTAATTAATTTATATGCACACATCCACTGACATTTTGCCTTATGTTTCAACATGTCTACATCGAGCCCTGGACTTTTTTGTATCGATGTCATTTTTCTCAATAATAAATGTTGTTATTGTATATTTGTTTTGACTACCGAAATATATCATTGAAAATTGTTCGCTTTAGATATGTACTAGTGTTTGTTTATATTGTATTGTGCGTATTATGTCTTTTAAGTTTCTACTGTATGTTTTGTCTGCGAAAATATTAATTCTGAAAAACCAATATAAAAACACATTTACAAGTAAACGAGCTGCGCCGTAGCTGTTTAGGTTTGATTTCAAATCCAAAAAACTACTGCTAAATAAAACAAATAAAGAAATTGATTCTACCTGCTTTTGTACCGTACTGACCGTTATATTTTACCGTATAAGTTTAAGATGAAAAATGTGTTAATTTTTAGGGCCACATTTTTCAAAACGTCAATTACTTTGAAAATAGCTTCTGTTAGTGAAAATATTTTTAAAAAAACTTTAATAAATAACGTTCAATTTTTTGTTTTTTTAGTATAATATTGTATTACATACAGTTAATAGATAATATGTACAGAATATATACAGAAAGAAACAAAAACTAAACTTAATATGTACAGAAACTATTTTAGCATATTTTGTTCGAACTGGTTTATGATAGGTACATAAGATGTCAAACGACATCTTTATAAGGCATTTATTGTGTTTATTAAAATGTTTAGATAACAAAGGATTCCATAAAAAATACGTCCATCCAATACTTGTGCACTAAAATACATTTTCATTTTTATAATTTAAAGTTGAAACGCGTCAATTTTAACTATTTCTAGCTCAGTATTTTTAATTATTGAAAGCTGTATTTATTTGTTAGCTCTTTATTATATTACCACCTTAAGCTTATACTGTATATATTTCATAGTATTGACTATTCTTACTTATTTTAATGTGTTCATATGAACAGTAAAAGTATGTTTTTTATTTAATAAATGGTTGTTTTTCTCGTTGTACAAGGTATAAGCAAAAATTTAGAGTGACAATGATAAAGTACAATTTTTTTTGTTTCTGTATGGCTTTTTTAACAGTCATAAGCTTAAAATTCAATAATAATATTACTAACAAACATTTAAATACTATATTATGTTATGTTTATTATGATAATAGTAAAATAAAAAAACAAGTAACAAGATAAATAATACGCTTATAAGATACGAATAAACATTTTTATTTGCTAAATCATATTAAAAAACTAAGACTAAATAAAATTAACATACCTATAATTAACTTGTAAATAATAGAGGTACAACATATTGCTGTATATAGTGATGTATTTACAGGAAGTTACCTAGGGCGGTAAAGTTTGTTTGATGATTTCCCACTAGAAGAAATCCATCTCCATTTACATATTTAAGTTGAAACATATTTATAAGTATATTCATTCAATTTACTTTTTTACACTTAATCCAATAGTTAACATTTTTTTGCTTCTATTTTGTGTTATAATCTGTTATAATTTTATTTACTTTATTACTTATAAAAACTTAATCGTAAACCACTAGAAAATTGTCAATAAATTCTGTAACAGCTAATGCCAAAACTATGCCATCATGAAAATAATTTCAAGATTTGGATTAAGACAATAACATATTTTAGAAATAATAACATTCTCAGCAGCATTTTAGATTAAATTAATATTAAATAAAGAATTCATCATTAATAATTAATAAATAATGTATAATAATTATAGATATGTTAAGTATATGTGTGTTTAAATACTTAGAGTTTAAAAACTTTACGTCACTTTTAAAATGATAAAGTACTTTAAAATTATTTTATTGAATTACATTTTTAGCTGAATAACTAAATATATATAGTTGTCTAATATTTGATTTGAACTTGTGAATCCATCTTATTCTTCTTACTGACTTAATGGAAAACCGTTATCTGCAATAGTGTGCCACAGTAATTAAAAAAAAAATAATAATAATAATAAATTGTTAGTGATGAATTCATAAAAATTAACTAAATTATTGCAAACTGATGATCTTATATATTTTACCTTAAAATAAAACACCTATAAATTTACTGAAAATTGAATACCACAACATTCGACAATGTATTGATGGAATTGGTTTAGGCTGATTGACTACAATAATATAATACACCAAATTTGACGTTGGTAGTAGTGTAGTTGTAGACAATAACAAATATCAATTTAAGTTGAGATAGTCCATATTAATATTGAACATACTGAAACATATAATTAAAAAAATTAAATAAGTTTCTTAGATACTTAAGTAATTATATGGTTAAGCAACAAATATCAGTATACACATATATTTTTTATAATTATACAAGTATGATAATTTTTGAGTTAAACGTTAATTTTTAAGTAACGCATTTTAATAAAACATATTAAGTATGATAAACATAAGTAATCCAAAAAAACTTATTATGTAAAAACATTTTATAAGTTCATGAATAATAAAAAACGATTAATTATATTTTTCTAATAAAAAAATGTACTTATACAATACCTACAACATTATCAATAAATATATTATCTTACCTATTATTGATTCAGTAAACAATGATTGAAGATTCAATTTTTTCATAAAAATTTTTATATTTTTTCTTTGAATTCAGATACCAATATGTTAAAACACAAAACTACACATTTATAAGTTTCTCAGAACAAAGACATAATACTGTAAAAATAAAAGTTTTAATTAAAATATTATCAAGCATAATTCAAATTACCTACTCTATTTATTTTAAATAACATATTATTTGTATATTTGTCAGTCGATATAGCGGTTATCATTATTATTTACTATCGGTGAATTATTTACCTAAAGTAAATAGTGTTTGGTACGGTTATGATTTTTAAACGCTACTATAGCTATTGTCAAAGTTAATTGTCAATAAATAATAACAGAGAGCAGTCAAGTGTCACCTTAATATGTTAGCGTCTCCAAGTTATTCAATTTATTTTTTACACTCCCTTTAATTTTAAAACTGTGTAGCTCGTTAACTACTCAATCGATTTACCTAGTTTTTACGCCTAAAATTAAATTTTTAAAAAAATGGATCATCAAAAAACAGGATCATCAAAAAAAAATTGGGGGTTACCATTTAAAAATCCAAAGTTGATATGGTTTTAACGCATAAAGGATGGTGTTAAAGTTTTGAAATATATATAAAATTTGTCCCAACTAATTACTATAAAAGTATAAAAAAAAAAAATTAAAAAAGTGTAATATCTTCTAAGATATTGAGTGGTCCATAGTTAACCAATCACCCGGTACAATTAACATAAATCTTGTGTATTCTGTTTTGCAAAACAGAATACACAAGATTACACTAAAAAAGCATAATGCGCATAATGCAAATAATGCGAATCTTGTTGTTTGTTTTTGAACACAAAAACATCTTAGAGGAGGGTTTCGTCATATTATATATAATATGTAATATTACACAAAATATATTATTTCTTTTTCATTCTGTAGTCCGATTTATTGACTTGTTAAAATAATATTTCATAATAATGGATTTAAAAATGTACATCAGAATGACTATCGTTTCGGTTCTTATACTAACAATATTTACAGGTAATACATACTTAGGTGTTTTGCAAATTTAATATTGTACTTAAACTTATTAATTGTTTGTATGATTAAATTGCGTTAATGTATTTAATGTATTACAGCCGTTAATGGAAGACCCAGCGGTCAAGGTAATTCATACATTTAGCTTTAACCAATACAAGAAAGCAATGAAGTTTCCGTTATTTTTGCAAAAGGCAGTTTATTTGTACAATTTTAATTTTCTATGACGGAAAACTAATTTCACATTAATCTCTTGTTCATAAATATTAAAATAAAACTCTAAAATATTTTAACGTATTTTAGCCAATTTAAAAAACTGTGGATAAAACTATTTTGTACTCCAAATATATTGTCAACATGTCGTACATTATGTTAAGTTATTTATGGAGAGTTCTAGTCTAGGCGACCCTTTTAAAAAATAAACAAAGCTAATTAATTTAGACAACTACCAGCAGATGTAAACATTTTTTTTGTAGTAGTCGACTGGACTAGTTAATTATTGTTAGTTAAATACATTATTAACTATATGCATTTTTGTCACTGATATGTGGCGTGTAAGATAAGATGAGCATTTTCATTCACCGATCAATTCATTATGTTAAAATCAACAATATCTTCATTCTGATATTTTAATTCAATTGTATGAGATACCTATTTTATTAATTTAATTCACTTTATTATGTATATAAATAACACTTTTTTTATGCAGGTGAAGGCAATAAGGGCAAAGGTAAAAACATTTTTTTTTTAATTTATAAAAAAAATATGTATATAAAATACTATTCATTGACTGTTCAAAGTTAAACGAGGTTTTCCATTGCAATCCGTTAATGATTAAATTGCTTATATGTTAGTGTAAATCTTGAGTAAACAACAAAGTTTTTGATAGGTACATCAATTGTCCATAATTCATACAATCCGTTCGATATCCCACGAGCCGCTATTATACGACGATTCTTATATTGTGATTTTTAACTAGGATTTGTTTCAAAAATTCCGTTGCACAATAGTTCTTGTCTACTAATTCAGAGAATAAAATAATCTTAAAACAAAAAGCTTACAGTACATATTTACTTTATCTTCTTAGAATGTTGGTATAAAACCCCTATCAAGTTAGCATAGTAATTTATTTTACAACAAAAGTTATTGACGCAATTATAAAATATTAATAAACAAATATCTCGTGTTTTTTTTTTAAATTTATTAATTTAACTTGTTTATATTATAGGTCCTTTAATAGTTGGTATGTACATATGTAAATTTATTACATGTTACGGATAACATATATGTATAAAATGATTATTGTATAATCATGTATAGGTATTTTTGTTTGAGGTGAATATATTTTTAGCATAAGACAAATGGTTATAATTTTATACCTAAGTAATTAATTATATGATTAGGTAGGTGACCCAAGTATTGCCAATAAGGGGCTTTTAAATAACTTTTTATTAAGTATATTTAAAAAACGATTTTTGTTAATAATCAAAGAACTTTTATAAAAAAAAATCTATGAATTGTACCTACAAAGTTTAAAAGAACAATAGGTGTATTTTATCACATTAAATTTAATTTTTATAATTTTTTTTATTAAAGATGTTGTATTTTTGTACAACATTTGTTTTATTGTGCGGTTTACCAGACCGCGAATATCTTCGGAAAACATATGTTTAGTGTAAATCTTGCGTAGTCAACAACTTTTTGATACAAAAAAAAAAAATATGTTTCGTTTTCGACTAAAAGTTTGGTTTAAAAACAGATAATGCACATCGTGTTGTTTGTTTTTGAAAATAATACAAATTGTAAATTATTTATTTTGCTTTTATTATGTAAAATTACATAATATTTTGTACTCAGGAGGTGCATTATTTTAGCTTACTAAATTATAGAAAACTCTTGTCAAGTCGAAATTTTCAAAGAAATAAAGCTTACCAATTTAAAAAACTACAATTAGTAAATATATATATATATATATATGTGTGTGTGTGTATATATATATGCTATTTCTTCTTAATTCACCAGTCGTACTTACAGTAGTTTGTTGTTTGTGATAAGTTATATTTTATTGGTCATTTAATAACTACAACTATAACTAAAAGCCTGTAATTAATGTATAAGTTAATATTAATTAATGATGAGCATTTTCATCGTTTACTCTTGGATAAATTAGTAATAATTCATTAAGTCAAAATTAATTATGTGTTAATTGCGATACATGAATTAAGTTTTATGGGGTAACTATAATAATTATTTTAGTTCACTTTATTATGTATAAAAATCATTTTTTCTATGCAGGAGAAGATAAAAATAAGGTCGAACTATTCGTTCATTAATATAGTTTTTTCGGAATTGATTGTTAAAATATCTATTATTTTGCATTAAGGAAATTGTACAATTAATAACATTTTCTGTATGCAGGAAAAGTTATGAAAGCCGTCAAACTCGGTAAGTCGTTGAGTATAGACAGAAACTCGGGTTTGTATACTTTTAGAGTCTTTTTTCTCGATTCTTTTTGTACAATATGTATTATTGTTTTTTAATTTTATAATTTTCGATTTTTGAAATACTCAAAATTATGAGGTGTATATGATCGAAATTTATATAATCCAATTTCTTTTTAACCTATAACTCATAAATTTTAGAATAATTCTGGTAAATATTTAAACGATTTTTGGGCAAATTAAAAGACTGCGACAAAATCCTTTGTAGTACTCCAAATATATTGTCAAAATATTGTACATTATGTTACGTTAAATATGGAAAATTCTAGTCTAGTTGAAAACTTTTAAAAAACAAAGCTAATACATTTAAACCACTCCGAGTTTGTGTGAAATCAGTTGATTTTTCTTTTGTTTAGTTGATTAGTTCATTTTTGTTAGTTTTATACATTACCAACTATATTAATAATTGACTCTGATGTGCAGAGTGAGGGTTAATATGAGCATTTTTGTCATCTACCCTCCGACACATTTATATTAATTCATCATGTTAAAATGAACAATGAGTTAATTCTGAAATTTGAATTCAATTTTATGAGGTACCTATTTTATTTATTTGTTTTGCTTTAATATGTATAAATAACATTTTTTGTACGCAGGAGATGGTGGCAAAAACATAATAACCAGCTGTTGGTCACCAAGACGTAGGGCCAGTATGTATTCTTTTATAGTTTTTTTTCGTTTTTTTTTTTATGAATTAATTTTTTTTATACAGCCAATGATGAAGATGAACCCACAAACGGTGAGTGTTATTAACGCATTCAGTTTTAAAATATACAAGATAGCAATGAAGTTTCCTATATTTTTGCAAAAAGCAGTTTATTAGTACAATTTTTATTTTATAAGACGGACTAATTTCATATTAATCTCTTTATTATATAAATATTAAAATAATACTGTAAAAGACAATACTAAAAGAGACTTGGTTTAAACTCTCATTTTAATTGTTTGTATGATTAAATTGCGTTAAAGTAATTATTGTATTACAGCCGATAATAAAATCACCAGCGTTGAAGGTAATTCATACATTTAGTTTTAACCTATTCAAGATAGCATTGAAGTTTCCTATATTTTTTTAAAAGGCAGTTTATTAATAAAAATATACTTTTATGAGGCGAAAAACTACTTTCTTTTTTAACCTTTAATTCATAAACATTAAAATAATACAGTAAAATATTTAACGTATTTTAGCTAATGTAAAAATCGTTTTTGTACATCAAATATATTGTCAACATTTTGTACAATAATGTTCCTTTACTGTATTTGAATAATATAAATGACACCATTTGCGCTATACATGTGTGTCCATCTCAGTTCTTTGGTAATTTTAACTAGTTTAGCTTAGTTAATTGTGGACAATTCTTGTCTAGTCGAAACTTTCAAAAAATAAAGCTTTTCAATTTAAACAATACATACATTACATAGTAGATTAATATATTGCTATAATAATATTTGTCTTCGATATGCGACGTGAGAGACAATATGAGCTTTTTCATCTTTGCCTCTCGGATATATTTGTATTAATTCATTATGTTAAAATAAACAATGTGTTAATTCTAATACTTGAATTAAATTGTATAAGATACCACATTTATTTATTTATTTCGCTTTATTATGTATATAAATAACACTTTTTGTATGCAGGAGGAAGTAGTGGTTATAATGACAATAGGGGCCAAGGTAAAAACATTTTTGGTTTAATTTATAAAAAAAATATGTAAATAAAATACCATTAATTAACTGTTTGATGTTAAACGAGGTTTTCCATTCCAATCCATTAATGATTAAATAAAATCAAAACATTTTTTGTACACAGGAGTTGTGGTCGATGACAATGCTCGCTTTTTCGGTAGATATACTGTAACTTTTTTAGGTTAACTATAGAAAATTCTATAGTTGTTTGTTTTTGAACGTAATAAAAATATTGTAATCTACTTATTTTGCTTTTATTTTGTATAAATACAATTTTTTGTATGTAGGATTGGAGGACAAAGATTCTGAAGAAAGGAAACGTATTGGTGAAACTATCAGTATGTTATATACTGTTACTATTTTAGCTTACTTAATTATAGAAAACTCTTGTCTTGTCGAAACTTTCATAAAATAAATCTCATAAATCAAAACAATAACAAGTAGTGAAGTTAAGTTAATTTAGTAGACTAATTATGTATTCTTAATTTTATATAATATCGATTGTGTTTGATTGGCCACGTGAAAGATAAGATGAGAGTTTTCATCATCCACTCACAGATAAACTTGAATTAATTATTAAGTTAAAATTAACAACATAATAATACTGATAATTGAACTAAGTTTTATAAGGTATAATTATATTATTTATTTCATTTATAAAAACCATTTGTTCTATGGAGCTGATAAAACAAGGGAAATTCATTTGTTCAGTGCATTATGTCTTTTAGGAACTGATTGTTAAAATATCTATTGTTTTGTATTAATTTCACTCACTGTATGCAGAAAATTGTGAAGGTTACACTTACGACGGCCTAGTACCTAAAGTATGGCGTAAATCAGGCGAAAATTCCGGTATGTATGCTTTCGTAGTTTGTTTGTAACTTTTTTGTGTGATTATCTATTTTGTTTTTTTATATAATTTCATAATTTGGATTTTTGGAGTTTTTGAAACTTTGCAATACAAATGTCCATAATTCATACAGTCTGTTCGTTATCCCACGAGCCATGGTTCTTAAATTATGATTTTTAACTCAGATTTGTTTCAAAAATTTGTTAGGTTATCGTAGATCTTGAAGTTTTCTTGTAAACAAATAAAAATTGATACATAATAAAAAAAATAAGAAGATATTTGATACAAGTGTACATTAAATACGGTAGTTTTTTTCTAAACACTATTACTGTTAGGTAATAATCTATGGAACATTATGTCTTAATAGTTCGTATAATATTTGAGTGAAGTCCGACATAAGAGAAGAAGATAAATTACTTTTTCCAGTCCGTTGCACAACAGTTGTAGTTAGAAAAACTCAAAGAATAAAATAATCTTAAAACAAAAAGCTCACAATAAGTTTTTCCTGTATCTTCTTAGAATATTCGTATAAACTAGAGGTCCCTATTACACGTGTATTCGATTACACGTGAAACCCGTGTAATTAACATACACGTGTAATTATAAATACACGTGTATTCAAAAAAATTTATTTTTGTTATTCATTTTAGTTTTACGTTTAATATCACGTCTATTTTAATTATACGAACTCAAACACAAGTATAATTGTGTAAACACGTTAACTCAAACTAAAATTTTTAACAAAATAATTTTTTTTAATACACGTGTTTTATAATTACACGTGTATGTTAATTACACGGGGTTCGTGTACACGTGTATTTAAATTACACGTTTAAAATCACAGGCATTAGGCTATAAACCCATATGTAGTTAAATGTTTTTATTCTGGTGACTGGTGGAAACTGTTCAAAATTATTAACCGTTAATATAAAGACAGATTTATTGTAATTTTTTTAAATACATTGTCCGAGTATCGTCATTGAAGTTATCTGGAGACATGTAAAATTATAATTTAAAATATTTTTGGTATACGTTAATAAAATTAAATGGTAAATAGATTAGCTAAAACCATTAATAGTATGATAATGTGATGTTTTCTTTTCAGAGAAACCGCCTATTCCTTAAATTACATATGTAAGTCCTAAGTATAGTTAAATTAATTTTTTTTGTGGTTTGACTACTTATTTATTATACATTTTGTTTTTTTTTTGTGTAATTATTTAACATTGTTTAAATACAGAATGTTGGACCGTCATTCATCTTCATTCAGATAAAGAAATAAAATTTTCATTCTATAGAAATTTATGTTATAGTAATTTTATCTATTGTATTTATATCTAACGCATTGATTTGTTGTAAAGTGTTTTAATTATATATTTAGTGTTATACATTTATTAAGTGTTCAAACATTAATAATAGTTATAAATTATAAACGATTAAATTTGAATTTATTTGTATTTTCGTTCAACGTTTTTAATAATATCATTGATTGAATTATTTAATTTATTACATATCAAATACACATTATAATATAATATTTTTATAACCTTAAAAATTCTTGGGCTTTGATTTATAAAATTCCTTTTAATGAATATTGTAAACATTTACTGAGTGTCACTGTACATAATATTATATAATATACCAATTCATCATTCAAAATAATTATTTCAAATGTTCTTTATAATTGTTATATGATGATATCTTAAACAAATTCATTTTTTGTTATATATATTTTAGCTTCAATGCAAAGCGAGAAGGTATTGGTTTTACTCTGATGTGTGTTTTTTTTTTATCTGTATACACTGTAACTTTTTTAATACTTGACCAATTCCTTCGAATAGCAACTCTATAAATCACAAATTTTGTCTAGTTTGTACTTTGGAGGGGGTAAAAGTTGAAAAAGTTTAATTCTTCACAGACGAAAGTTGAAAAAACAAAAAAAAAACCGTACGAGTTTTTAAGTTAGAACTTTTACTGGCTATAATTTCGAGAAAAAGAGTCGGATCGAGTTGAAATGTATAAGAAATAATTATTTGGTATGCCCGCACACGTCAGTTGTGTCAAATTAAACTATACCCATTTCCCCCCCCTAGGGGGGGTACAATTTTTTTTGTTTTTCGGGGTTTTTAGCGGTAATTTTGAAACTTTTGGGTTGAAAATTTGCCAGTAGTTGGAACTCATATGTACCCATAACATATTAAACGGGTGAAAAATTCGGCACTACAGTTTTTTTTTAATTGCCGGGAAACTGTGTTTTCGCAGATTTCGTATATTTTAACAAAAACACCTAAAATCTTTAAAAAAAATTGATCAAATCATTAAAACAATTTTACGTATATCTATGCAGAATGATACTATTAGGTTTTGTGCTCAAGTACCACTTTTGACTTAAAGTTTACACAAATTCAATTTTTTTTTTTTTTTTTTAAACTTAAAACCCGGTGTACCAGATGGAAGAAACTAACAGACACTAAAAACTATCAGTTGGTAACGTCTATCCGTGTTAGATTAGGTTAAGGCCCAATGATCGGTATCATAATATTGTGTTTATTACATGATATCACAGACGACTAAATCGTGTAACTGATTATAGTAGACACTCGATTTATTGGGAAAAAAACCTATCCGTGTACTTATTAAGACACTTAATGATTCTGATACGACAAAACCACTGTCGTTATCTCGTTATTTTATAGCCTTCGTTATATAACCTTACCGAAGGTCAACTATGAGTATATAAGGTCCAACTACCATGCAAATTATGAAGATGACTGTTGTTTTTTGGATTCAGATTAAGTGTTGGGTTTTATGCAGTAGGTATACCGCCTCAAAATGTATTTTTTATTACACAATTTTTTTAAAGGAAAACTAATGTTTTGTATATTGTTATACTGTTATTCATTTAAGGAGATTCACGCTTGATTGTTTAAATTGTCTCATATTAGATTATCTGCTTCGTGCTAATTTTAATTTTTTAGTTTATCAACTTTTTATAGCTCTAATTTTGTATAAAATATTTCATTATTTTATTACTATGTACTATTACTATTAAGATAAATTTTAATAATAATTAAGTCATAAATGATAATACTTTATTTTATGACTAGATCAAATCTCGTGAACATTTAACATCATATGTGTTATTTGGTCCACTACGTTTTTGCAAAAAAAAAAAAAAACCAGTACAGTGGGGTCGGTGCATAGTGGGGACGGAACATAGTTGGGTCGGGGCATATTGGGGACGGGGAGGTCACAGGTTTACAGGAATTTTTAAATCTGAAAGTGATAAAATCACTTTCGAAAAAACGCTTCGATGCAAATCGGTAGTTATTATTTTCAAGCCAGTACAGTCCAAACCAAGCACAGTATAAACCAGCAAAGTTAGAAAGTTTTAAATGAAGGTTCTGTATTTACAAATGAGCATCAAAGCGTTTATTTGAAAGCGATTTTATTCAATTTTATCACTTTTATTTATAATAATTCGTGTAGACCTGTGACCTCTCCGTTTCCTCATTGCTTTGATTACATTATGCCTATACTCTACTGTACTAGTCCTCTTGGATAAAATCACTTTCAAATTAACGCTTTGATGCTCATTTGTAAATACAGAACCTTCATTTAAAACTTTCTAACTTTGCTGGTTTATACTGTGCTTGGTTTGGACTGTACTGGCTTGAAAATACTAACTACCGATTTGCATCGAAGCGTTTTTTCGAAAGTGATTTTATCACTTTCAGATTTAAAAATTCCTGTAAACCTGTGACCTCCCCGTCCCCAATATGCCCCGACCCAACTATGTTCCGTCCCCACTATGCACCGACCCCACTGTACTGGTTTTTTTTATATAGATGTTTTAGAATAATTTATTTTGAAATTTTCTTAATGAAACGTATATAATTTAGGAGATTAAGGAGTTATTACAGATAACTTTAGGTTATCATAATCAATTCCTTTAATTTTTTTAGCGTTTGGTTTTGAATTTCATACTTAAAGTAGAGTGCAGCTCGTTTACGTGTAAATGTGATTTTTTATATAAATTATTCTATCAGAATAATATTTTCATGGAAACATGAAAACAATATGCATCTTACAACAATAACAAAGTGCACTGGGCATATTATGTACCTTGGGACTTAGAT